ATTCATTTGTCATATACTTGAAAGCATATAAGTTAGCACAAATAACAGGTTTGCAAACTTTCAAATAAATATATATTATATTTATTACAAATCCATTTGAAATATTAAACAACAATAACAGTCACTTAAAGCATGAATAATTTGAACCGTGTGTATCGACTTCTCCCCCCCCCCCCCCCTTTGAAGAAGAGTGGATGTATTGCTAATGTCGGTCGGTCCCTCGTCCGGTCGGTATGTCAATGATTGATCTGACCGTCGGTAGACCACATAGTTTCCACAGAATATCTTAAAATCAATTTATCACAAAGTCTTCATATTTCACGCACTGATTGGTCAAGACTAGTTGATGACCCCTTTTGATCTTGGTATCACTAGATCAAAAGTCAAGTTCAAGAGGGTCTTAAATGTCAGAATGGTTTCCGCTTATTATCCTGAAAATTGTTTATCACAAAGTCTTCTTATTTCATATACTAAATTGTCATAATTAGTATATTACCCCTATTTATTTTGGGGTCACTTGGTCAAAGGTCAATATCACAGGGGCCTTAAATGTCAGAATGGTTTCTGTTCATTGTCTTGGAAACTTTTTATCACACAGTCCTTATATTTCACATAGTGATTGGTCATAACTAGTAAATGACCCCTATTGAATTTTTTGTCACAAGGTCAAAGGTCAAGATTATATGGCCTTAAATTGTAATATGGTATATTACAATATTTATTACAAAGTCTTCATATGTCACATATGGATTGATCATAACTATTAGATGACCCCTTTTGATCTGGCGATCATTTGTTCAAAGATCAAGGTAACATGGGCATAAAATGTCAGAAGGGTCTACGCCTATTATCTTGAAAATTATTTGTCACAAAGTCTTCATATTTCACATAATGATTGTTCATAACTAGTAGATATTATTATATATGTGTAGCATTATTAAAACATGCAATATGTTATTTTAATAGGCATAACTTTATTTAATGGAAACAGTGTAGAAAGGTTGTTTCTAAATTTAAAATAAAAGCACGTTCAGTTATAATTGGTAAAGTTCATATCTTAATAGGTTTTTTTTTTGTACCGCCTCCGTGGTCGAGGGGTTAGAGTCGATGACTTCTAATCCAGTTACCTCTCTGGCGTGGGTTCGATCCCCGGGAGATGCTTTGGTAGTTTAGCGCGGAGGAAGGTTGTCTAGTACTGGTGTAACTCTCCATGAACGATGGTTAGGAAATTACCCGCCTATATGACTGAAATACTGTTCGGAAAAGGCGTGAAATGAGGCAAACAAACAAACTTAATAGGTTTTGAACAATGAATATATTAAAAGAAATAACTGAAACTTATTCAGAAAGTAATTAGATGAAACTGTATTGAATAATTTACAATTTTCAAAATGCATTTGTGTTATTAAATGGGTATTTGATTAATTTCCTCAGTAAATCGATGAAATTTGCATTGAAAAAATGGGAAAATTACTATGAATCGGATTGTCCGACCATGATACCTAGCATGATAGATTATTTATCTATTAATCCTCAAAATGATGAACAGATCAAAATGACAGTATGACTATAGACATTTCAAAACATTTTTGTTGTATACAATATGTTGATGGTTTGATGAATACGAAAATAAAACATGTTATGGGCAGGAACATTTATTCAAACTTCAACACCCCCTACTCACACCCCGTAAATTACAATTAAGATTCGTCATTGTTATGTACTGTATGACATTAGAATATCATTTATGTAATGTTATCTTATTATCTTATTATTATCATTACAATCCATGTCGGTGTATCATGTAACCGTTCTTGAAAAATGAGTTTAATTCTTTGAGTAGTATAAGTGTTTATTACATTTATTTATGTTTGTATATTTCTGTTTCGATTCCACGCATATTATGCCAAACTATCTTAATAAAATGTCAAGTAAAATTTCGCTATATTTGATTGGTGTAACATAACGCAAAGTTTAGCTCAAAGTGGTATAACAAGAGCAGGAAAAATAATACATATTATGTAAAAAACATAATGTTAATGGGGCTATTTTCAGATATGATTAAATAAAATAATGTTCAGAAATGTTTGCTTAAACATATTATATTCAAGAACATACACAATACATGAAATACATATTCAGCTATATATATACACTGAGGAATAGGATTAAAACGAAATATATCAAATCTTATAAAGCCATTCACCTAATTTATTATGAATTTACACATCGGTTTACATGGATAATTTGTAAAGCTAATTAAGTAAAAGTGTATAGAAAATTATTTTGAAAAAAAAATCAATGTTTGGAAATGGTTTGCTGCAACTTCAAAATAAGAATAGATTTTGTAAAAAAAGAATCACGCTCGTAACTTATTCTTGTAAACTATATTTTGAAATAATAAGGAAGATAAATGCGTTTCTTTAAACCATGTACATGTAATTAAGCTCAAAATTACATCGCATTTAAATGAGTGAATAGTGTTACTCTTGTCACCTAAATATGAGTTTATATCATATGATGATTACAAAAAGTAATGGAATAAAGCATAATTGATAGTGTCAGTGAAATACATTGTAGTCATGACACAATTTGCTTTGATTTATGGGTTTCAATTTATTATCTTTCAAATATGGCTTTCAACTGTAGGGATATAATATGATATATTGCAAATGTAACAGTAATAGAAAAAACGATGCCAGAACAAATACTTTGTTTTGAATTTGTTAATGTTACGTATAAATGCTATCATTTAATAAAAGTTTTATCGTAGACACAAAAACCTTATAATCCCATCAGCGCTTGTTCGAGATATCACGTGATACTTACACAATTTATTAAGTCTTTCTTAAAAAGTCTACACTATATTAGATGCAATTATTTTCATATCAGACTTTGTAGGAATATTTAAATGCGAAAATACCATATATGTAGGTTAAATATAGCACAGAATATGAGAAAGATACAGATAAAACATATTTCTTAGATTGATTTATTTGATATATCACACAAATATAAAGATACTAGGCACTTGACACTATCTCTTACATTTTATATGTTAAACATTTACAAAATTCACTATGCACTTATTAATTTTATTATGGGCCATATGATCTGCCTCTATGAATTGACAAATGAAATATAAATATAACACAACGAATATCGCGTTGTGCATTTGAATTTAAATTGTGCTTACAAATCTTCTATGAAAATCAGATTAAAATCAAACAATATACCGGAAGAATTGTATTAGCACTTATTGGTTTCATAATTTTGATTAGATAAGTATTTCACATCAGGTGTACTTGAACTTTAACCTGATGAAATTCTAAAGGGTCGTTTACTCCCCTTATTCAATGTCTCTACCAAATTTTACTAACAGAAGCTGATCAAATCACCGTCTAGTTAATGATCCGACAAGGCTTTATCACAAAGTGTCACAGTGACATTAACCTGATGACCTTAAAGTTAAGAGAAGTCACTCTTCTGACAACTTGTACAACATTATTTTTATGCTTTATGAAGATACTGATCTTACAAAGATCTTGATTAAAGATCACTTTCTGTTTATTCTCTAACCAGTTTAGATACACAATTTATTCTACTTTCATTAATTCTAAAAGTTTACTTGATTGAATTTTCAGTTTGGAACTGTAACCTTTTTAAGTTATTTTTATTCTTTATTAGGACACTGTGGTAAGATTATTTTCATTTCAATCATTTACTTAAAAAATCTTATTTGCAACGCTGAATTATTGCATTTTGTGTATATTTAATGAATTTGCATTATAATCATGTATTTATGTTTTTAGGCTTTTTCTTCAAAATAGATTCAGTAAATTTGACGAACCAACGCCAGGAGTTGTAGCATTTATTCTACCCTGTGACATTTATCAATTATGATTATTGTCTGCAACGATAACTGTAATGCACATCTTATAATGTCAGTATCCGATATTTATCTTATTTTTTTAGGAAAACTGAAATTTACACAATTTGTCTACACAATTCTTCAGTCTTTTTGTTTTTATTTCATTAATGTTATAATCATCAAACATTTACGCCATGCTGGCATTACATATGTCCTTGTTTTGCACACATAATAAAACAAAATACCGTACTATCACGGTTGTAGTTTATTTAAATAAGTATGATATTTTAATAGACATGACTTTATTTAATGGACTTAGTCTTGAAAAGTTGTTTCTATATAATAATAAATTTATTATAAAGAAAATCACGTTCACTTCTAATTGGTGAAGATCATATCTCAATAGGTTTTGAACAATGAACATATTAAAAAAGTAGGTGAATCTTAATGTGAAAGTTATTATATATAATGTATTGAATAATTGACTGTTGTTTATGTAGTTAAGTGTTGCAGATCATTACCAGTTAATATGCATTTGTGTTATTAAATTGGTCTTTGATTCATTTCCTGAAATTGATAGAAAACAATCATAAAAAATGCAAAGATCGCTATTTGAGTAACACTATTCACACATATAATGCGATGTAATTTTGAACTTAATTATATGGTTTAAAGCGGTGCATCTGTCTTTCTCATTATCTAAAAACATAGTTTACATCTATAAGTTAGGAACGTGATTCCTTTTCACAATCTAAATTAACATTTTGGAAGTTGATCCAAAACATTTATGAAAAGTTTTGTATTACTTTTAACTTCAGGATAATTTTCTTTCAGCTTAAACTTATTTAGTTATACACATATTTCCTGTATTTCGTAGCATTTGGGCATTTTGAACTTATTGTTCTAAAAAAACATCTCTCATATTCAGAATGTGCGTGTAATAAATCAAATCATTATAAAGAAAATTTGAATATTTTTTTATGAGAGACAATTTCAACATGATTTATTATCGTTTAAGTATACAACAGCGATGTCATGATGCAATATATAATTGATATACTATTATTGCCTAGCTATACAATTCTGAGATAATGTTATAATATTTCAGACATTTCGATGTTTAAAAATATACTCCTTGCAATAACGATACATAACATAAACATTTTGTCAATACGTAATTCATATGAACAAATATATGTATAAACATTTTTAACAGTATCTCATGTTGAAGAAATTTCGTTTACCAGCCTAAGTTAACGTTATAAAGGTAGGCCAACTATCCTATGTATTCCAATATTACGAAGATATTCAAAAGCTCTCTTTGTATTGAAGAGATGCAGTAATATTTTAGGATTACTTGAGCACTTATTTGTATCGGATAGGTTTGATTTTATGTGATAAATTATTAAGAGAGGGTTTCTTATTACATTTGGATTTGTGGTAAAATAAGAAGGTGAGTAAATTCTTGTTATTATTAAGATTGTAAAGATAAAGATATATTATATATCATAAATTTGTAGAAAATAGAAACGCGACAATAAATGTTCATATTTTATTTTAAAGAGTGCACTGCATTGACAAGTTAATGATAGAAAGATTTATTCTGGCAATATACCATAGATAAATATCTGTTTTATTATAGTTTTAATTATTTTAGCATTATCTATTGAATTAATTTCTATATCAACTCAATCAAATGAATTTTAGAATATTTATAATAGATAAAACAATAGAATTTCCTCTAAAACGTTTTACATTTTAATGCCGTTCCTAGTGTAAAATTAATTTTGAAAAGTAAATGATGATTAATGTCATAGAAATACACGCATAATTCATTAAATGATGTGTGCTGAACATTAAAGATATTGCCTTTGTTGACCATACTCAGAATACCAATATTGATGGAACTAGCCGAATATTAAGAAAATGCACATTTAATATAAGAATGATACTTTTCACTAGTTTTTTTTATTTTTTTTTATTCTAATGTATCCAACAACAAACAACCTAGTGTTGATGTACATCACGGATAGACTCAATAACATGCACGTTCACATCTTATGTATAAAACATTTCAATAAAACATTTGTAGTTACTGTGGAAAGTTGTAATATAAAACTAAACACCTTTAATTAAACACACATGTTGAAAATATGTGCCTTCAATTTATGGCATCCAGCACAACTTCCTTTTTCAAATAACAATTGTGTAAATACATATGCTAACATTTAAAACAGCTGTTTATGTTTTATTGTTGGGTTGCTTTTTTTGTTGTTGTTTTTTTTTTGTTACAAGGAATGTGCTTCATTCACCCTTTTCCAGCCTTTGTTCTGAGCTACTTAAAATTGGCATAAGACATAAATAAATAAATAAATAAATAAAGAAAGAAAATATATTGTTTAAGAAGGTCATGTAAATTTATAAACTTAAGCATGTGAAGAGGTATGTTAGTTTACCTTCCTATTGTATAGTTTATGGAATAAGTACAACATAGTTGTTTTAAAACTAAATCATCTACAAACGTAACATTTATGTGTTACTTAGACTTGTTATAAGTAGAAAGAATTTCAAATATAATAAAAATAATGGAAGTTATACGTGTTTGTTACTTGATTGATCTTGAAACCCTTTTAATAAAAGACAAAAACAATAAAATTATTTTCATTCGAAATATTTAATCACTATTCACATATATATAATGATGCATAAATAATGTTCCATTGCATTTATTATTACCATGACAATATTTACAATTAACAAAATCTGAGATATAACAGTATATTTTGCCTTAAGAAAAAGGCATTTATGAAATATATTTGTTTAAGATATATGTCTTTCTTTGAGACATTGTATCTGCAAACTAATTCGCTTACAGCTATTTAATCTTGTAATATAATCATAGAAGCAATGGTTAATTAAAATTCGTTGACAGAGATGTCTAAGAGTAACAGTTAACACACCAAAATTTGTATAATCGTTAATCGTATTATCTTTTGATTGATTAAGTATGTAAAGTCGTAAGCTCAATCCAAGAAACTATGCAGTCTATAATATTTGATGTATAAATTTAATTTTATCAAAGAACAAGAAATATATAAATACACTTTGACGAGGTACGTGCCAAATTTATATTACTGCTATACAGCACAGAACACACATTTATTTCAGGGCAACAGCTAAAGACATATCGATGTATAACCAATTACAATTCATATTGATCGATTGATTGATTGTTTTATTACAAAGCTTTTTTAACGATAAACTTTGTGTTATTATACCATAGTGCAAGAAAAAATGCAAATCTATTTCCAATCGAACACGTTAATGAAAATAAGAATTGATAAAAATATATTGAACTACATAGAGCAAAAAAAATAATTTTCCTGACGTCATTTGGGTTATTGATGTCATATATCACGTCACACAACGTGTAAGCATTCGTTTGTTGTTTTATATGCGGTACATATATCATGTAATAATGCAATTGATTGTCCTGTCTTTTGGAAAACGTGTTACAATTGAAACTAAAATGTATATCATTTTATTAAAAACACACAACGTATCAACTGAAAAGTCTCCGTCAGAAAAATGATGTCAATGTTATACATCCTCAAGGGCAACGACGTCAAAATGTAACATATGATTTGGCGTAATAAGTCAGTATGCAAGATCTTAAAATAATGATACAAAACGCTGGTCAATATGCATTAAAACAATGTTAATATGTACCATCAGGACAATTTGTTCCAAGTTAATATATCCAAGAATTTGTTTAATAATTTTATTCAAATGTTCTTCACGTTTGCAATTGGTTGAAAAGAAATGCCGTTCAGAATTAAAATGTTTAGATATGTTTGTAAATGTGTCAGAAAAGTGTTTAAAATCAATTTTGTGACTTTTTACATTGTTTACAAGTGTTAAGGTAAATGATGTCTGAAGAAGTCAACATTGATTTAAAATAATAGTTTAAGTCTATATTTCAACTGTGCCATGTAACGATTTCCTGATCATATTGGTGAATCATGTAATTTTTGAATAGTTTGGTCCACTCTCTCTTGATGATTTCTTTAATCCCGATGTTTGTGAATGTTGCATTTTACCGGGATATTGTATTATATTATGAATAAAATAATTGAATACCTAGATAAAACCTTGCCGAATGTGCTCTTCTCGTTCAGATACAACATATGTTTTCACTTCATGAAGATTTGCAAAGAAAACATTAGAAATATTGAACAAAACAAAAAGCAGGTGTTATATTGAAAGTTTTCCAAATATGTGGAGGGACAACTTTATAATATATCATGTTTTCATTTAAGGATTCCAAAACTAATGGAAAATCTGAATACAGAATCATTTTGGTTTACCGATCTTTTTCCTGATATCTATATTTGATGCCTGAGGTTCAGGAGTAACATGGTCGCCTATCATGTAAACGGTCTGGGATCCGAATCTCGGTCCTATAATGATGCTTATATTTTCTCAAGATGTTAGCCAAGATATACAAAGATGTTTTTTAAATAGAAAAAATAATGTTTAGTTCTGGACATGCAATATTCAAATGTATTAAAGTGACTTGGTCTTTAAAGGAAGGTATGTAACAGAATAAATAACACTGATAGTAATTAGTATCAGACAGAACAAGAAAAAATAATTTTATATGAATGTTGTTGGCGTGTGTGAGATACACGATCCGATATAACATATATATTTATATAGCAGATGATAAATATTTAAAAAAAATACATTATTCTTATTCATCATGAATATGTTCATACTAAATAACATAGAACTCCATCAACACATTTTATTCAAGCATTATTTTAAAAGAGTATCAAATAATACATTTTTAGTGTTATTATCAGTGTCAAATGGACAATGTGCACGTTGTAGACCAATCCACTTTAAATTCAAACTGTTATAGCCATACAAATTAAATGATAAAAGTTGTATATGTTTCAACTTGTCCCTGAATAGAGAAAATAAAATCCCTAAAGAAAGTCCAACACAAAACAATTGAAAATGTTGCAGGCTCGGTTTGATTGAGCCTGTTCATGGATGGTACTGAAAAGTGCAAACTACCGTCCACGCCCCCTAGCACCAGCTTAAGCAGAATTCAACATGAACCGGTACAATTTTGAATTTTGAAACATCCGCAGATGTGTTCATATGGCGGTTATCATGGAACCTTCAATGTGATACTAAGTGCCATTCCATGAAGCGGCATATGGTCCCCAAGTAAAAACAATGCGTGTGCCCTAAACGAGAAAACAATGGGCGGAGATGCTTTTTATTTAATTTTTATATATTTATTAGAAGCCTTACACAGAGATATTTTGAAAATATGTGCCTTCAATTTATGGCATCCAGCACAACTTCCTTCTTTTTCAAATAACAATTGTGTTAATACATATGTTAACATTTAAAACAGCTGTTCATGTTTTATTGTTGGGTTGTTTTTTATGTTGATGTTTGTTTTGTTACAAGGAATGTGCTTCATTCACCCTTTTCAAGCCTTTGTTCTGAGCTACTTAAAATTGGCATAAGACATAAATAAATAAATAAATAAATAAATAAATAAATAAATAAATAAATAAATAAATAAATTAATAAATAAAAAATAAATAAATAAAGAAAATATATTGTTTAAGAAGGTCATGTAAATTTATAAACTTAAGCATGTGAAGAGGTATGTTACTTTACCTTCCTATTGTATAGTTTATGGAATAAGTACAACAAAGTTGTTTTAAAACTAAATCATATACAAAAGTAGCATTAATGTGTTACTTTAGACTTGTTATAAGTAGCAATAATTTCAAAGAAAATAAAAATAATGGAAGTTATACGTGTTTGGTACTTGATTGATCTTGCAACCCTTTCAATAAAAGACAAAAACAATAAAATTATTTTCATTCGAAATATTTAATCACTATCACATATAATGATACATAAATAATGTTCCATTGCATTTATTATTACCATGACAATATTTACAATTAACAAAATCTGAGATATAACAGTATATTTTGCCTTAAGAAAAAGGCATTCATGAAATATATTTGTTTAAGATATATGTCTTTCTTTGAGACATTGTATCTGCAAACTAATTCGCTAACAGCTATTTAATCTTGTAATATAATCATAGTAGCAATGGTTAATTAAAATTCTTTGACAGAGATGTCTAAGAGTAACAGTTAACACACCAAAATTTGTATAATCGTTAATCGTATTATCTTTTGATTGATTAAGTATGTAAAGTCGTAAGCTCAATCCAAGAAACTATGCAGTCTATAATATTTGATGTATAAATTTAATTTTATCAAAGAACAAGAAATATATAAATACACTTTGACGAGGTACGTGCCAAATTTATATTACTGCTATACAGCACAGAACACACATATATTTCAGGGCAACAGCTAAAGACATATCGATGTATAACCAATTACAATT